CCCAGACACCATGTTCCAAAATGGTGGTGGCCCAGAGAATTTGTTCCTTGGAATTTGATTCAGAGTGCTCAGCAATCCAGGCACTCAACCTCTACAGCAAAGAGAAAGGGAAGTCTGGTTACTGCTCCAGCTGGCAGCAGACCTTGGCCTCATTCAATTGGCTTTAGGTGTGTGCAGAATGCAAGATTTTTAGGGTCAGGAAGGTCTCCCCATAGATTTTAGAAGGGCTGGGAGGCCAGGCCATGTGCCCCTCAGAGGACAGTGTGTGAAACTGTGTGAAGTCAAAGGTGCAGTGGAAACCCTGGAAGTTTGGAGAAGCCAGGAATGTGAATAGTCTGAGGAAAGCTGCAAGGACAAAGCAGAGTAGACCTGAAGCCATGGGAGGTACAAGCACAAGCAGTATCATAGGGGTGGAGACACCTAAGCCCTTTGAAGTTCACATCTTGAGACAGATTACCTTGGATGCTGAACATGGAACTATAGGACTTAATGTTTGCCCTGCTGGATTTTGGATTTGCTTTGGTCCCATTCCTTTGTACTTCCCTGTTTGTAAATTTTGGAACAGAAATGTCCACCTTGTGCTATTGAATTCTGGAAGTATTTAACTTTCTTTTTGATTTGTGCAGGGCTCATGTTAAGAGTTTACCTGAAATCTCAGTGGAGACTTGGGACCTGGACTTTTCAGCATTGTTTTGTCTATTAGGATCTTGGCAACACTTGGAGATGGACTAAATACCTTTTGCATAAAGGGATGTGCATGAGACTTTGGGGGGCCAGGTGCAGAATGTTATGGTTTGTGTCAGTATCTCCCCAAAGCTTCATGCAGTCATGGGGGGGCAGGCTGCTTTTGAGATGGCTGAATCTAGAGTTTCTGATTGATTCATAGTGCAATACTAGGATTGCAGGTGTTGTGATTAAAAAAATGAGTTGCCAGGCTCAGAGAATCTATTTAATAATATAAATTTAACCAGTATTTCTTTATCAAATCCAAAGTGAAAAGAACTTTTCTTAGCTCTAGGGTTACAGCAGAAGACAAGCCAAAGATCCTGCTTTTATAAATCTATTCTTATGGAAGCTTATTAAGTGTAATTCTGTGTCAGACCTTTCTCAGGAAACTAGAGGAAAGACTTGGGGCTCCAACTCTGAGCTCTGGTGAGGAAGATGAGGAAATGTGCCTTCAAGGCAATGACTAGAGAGTTGCTAAAAGAAAGTCTACTCTCTGAAAACCAGTAGCTTCTTAACTTTAGAGTGGGCAAACACCAATTCCTTTGACATGTCAACCATGACTTCAGAAGCACTCTTACCCAAGTCTCATACATTTTTCCACCTTTCATGCTCACCACATTCTGCTGTCCCATCACTCTTAAATATCTGCAGTGCAAGGGGCACTGAACATGGGGAGCTTTCTATTCTGAGAATCATCCAGGCCTCTGTTGTGTCCTTCTCCTGACCTTGCAATCAGCACTTCTTGGAGTCTTCTGCATTTATTATAAATCAAGGAAAGAAAATTTGGAAATTAACATTCAAGTTAGTTAATTTCTTTTCTGTTCACATTTCTAGGACATTTTTAGAAGGAGATAGGTTTTTTTAAAAAATTATAACTCATAGCATTATTTTGGTATCATTGCTTCATCCTCTTAGAAGGAATTCATGGGCAGATAGGCACATACATGAGCCCTAGCCAGCAGGAAGCTTCAAAGGCAAAACAGATACAAATGCTTTTCTAGTAATCATACTTCTTTCCAATGAACAGTTCCCCAAAAGTACTAGCAAGGGTCACATGGAGCTATTTTGAACTTTTCAGTGTAAAATATGGAAACCAGATCTGAGGGGTTCATTTAATTTTCAAAAACTATTAAAGTTGTCAGTATATTTTTCTTTTCTACCATTCAACACAGACAACCCAGACTAGACTGTGGGAGTTAAAAAACAAAACAACAAAATAAACTCCCACATGCAGTTTCAAACTTAATATGAGAAGTAGTGCAGAACAGATCCTTTGAAAAAGCCTGGTGTATTTACATAAGTTAAACACTACTTATCAGCATATTTTGCCTTGCCTCCACACTTCCCTGAATTAAACACATTCTTTTCAGCAAGTCTTAACAAGACAGTAACAAGCTGGCAAATTCATTTGCAGCAGTAGATGATTCACAAATAAGATGTTGACAGGCTTTTATGATTACAGTTTCCAAAGAGCCCAGCCTCACAAAAGTGTACATAGAGATTGATAGATATACAACAATGAAAAAATTAAAAAATGGAAGGAGGAGATATAAATTGGCTTTTTCATTACAACACATGATAAAAGGCATTGACCCCACACTCAGTATTCTACCTGTTGCCAGCGTTTTATTTCACTGTTTTTAACCCGAGATCATAATCTTTATAAGAAATAGTTAGTAAAGACGCCAAGTGGTAACTAAGATGACAAGTGGCTGGAGATGAACATTTCTTAAAGCATTTATTATCTTTCAGATATTTCTGTCTGAAATATTAGTTCCATAAAAGAGGAGAGAAGCAGGGTTGTTATTAATTTTTAAGGCTAGCTGACAGTGTTCAGCCCAAGAACAGGGCTTAATTTTGTGTTTTCATAATGCAGAAATTTTTAGTAATTTGAATAGGAATCAGGTGATAAATGATATATTGTCTATGAAAATACTGTCATATTATATTACATTAAGTTACCTTTCAGGATAAGCTTTCAAGAAATATACATAGACAGATTGGAAAGTTACCAGTATTGTTTTCTTGTTTTGCATTTAGAATTTGGAAAAACAATTCAAAGGACATATCTTCCTGCCTATGATTTGGTAATATCATATCCAAAGGACAGCTGGTTGCTTCATCTAAAAGCTTACTGTTGGCACAAATTGCACGGGTCTATGAGATCACTGAAATTGGCTGTAGACATTACTTTTTGCTCACATCTTCCTTCTGAAGACCCTGGGAAAATTTAATTACATTTTCACTTTGGCTTCCTCCTTCTTTCAATAGAAATGAAAAATTTCCCTTGTTTGAGAATGATCAGACTAAAAGGTTTGAGATTACATTTCACTGTCCTCTTTCTTGCAGCAGATTATCATGTTAAGTTGGGCATATTTACTTTGTATTGAGCACCTAAGGCTCTTTCTGACTCTTAAGTATTATTTGAATTGATGGCAATGTAACTGTTACATCCAGATGATTCTTGGTAACTTAATGTATGGCCCTAATAACAAACACTAGAATTAAACCATTAATAGAATCGGCTGCTAACAGCTGCTTCAATCTCAGTTTGATGAGCATTAAAATAGCTGATTCAGAGATTTCTGTAGAGAAACCTAAGTTAATTGAAGAAATCAAAGTCAATGGGACTACACTATCTCCTAGTAGCAATACAATCTACATCCACTGACATCAGTATTTTAAAAGTGGGCTGACAGAAGGTCAAAAAAATTTACCTGTCTTAGATGAGCCTTTTATTTCACATGTCATTTTGTGTTTCCCAGTTTTACTTAAAATCACAGGTCTTAAAGAAGTCCTTTCTATTTTACTCTATCGGATAAAAGGAGACAAATGATTACTTTGCCTTTTGTCCCAACATAAGGTAGGACAAGTTACTGGCATCTACTCAGAGCCTCCCATCAGTTTAGTGAGGAGAAAAAGAACAAGGACTGCCCTTTGTCGGGGTGGGCTTGGGGGGATACCTACTCTAAAGTACTTCATAGGAAATCCAGCTGGGATTTACCAATGTATCAGTTTTTCAGGTATACAGTTAGCCTAAATCCTGAAAACTTCCTTTAAGTCACAGTTTCAGTAAAAATCATTTGTAGCCAACCAATTATTTCCAGCCATGCAGCCTGTCTTGCCTGCGAATTGAACCATTCTGTTGCCCACTTCCTGTACATTAACTCTGTCAGATTGTGGAACTAATGGAACCATAATTTTAAAAGTTAACACCAAAGTAACATGTTTTGTCATTGCGGCTGCACTTTAGAAGTTTAAGAAACTTTCTGGCTCATCTAGTATTTAAAAAAAAAAAATCTCCAAGTAAGCATGCAATGTATGCTGCAATGTTTTTGCATGCTTGCATCATCTGATACACAGAAGGTCTGATATTTCTTACATTTGACCAAGTAAATTGAAAAGATATCTTATTGTCAATTGGATTCCAGTACGTATGTCACATAGTACATACATCAACGGGGTGCAATGTCAGACTCCTTTGAACCTGTGTTCTAGAAAGAACTTATAATGGTGGCTACTTATCCTTATTTTGTTAAATAATCCACTTTGTAATTCTGATAGTTGTTGCAATGCCAATGGCAAGTATCAAGGTTGGTTAGGTATGATTTTTCTATAATAAATAACTTTTAAAAATAAATTTAAATGTTCTTTGGTAACACATGAATCTGTAAGAGAGTTATGAGAAGAATGCCTTACATATTAGCAAGCACTCAGTAAATGACATCTGAGGCCCTCTGCTGCTAAATCTCTACAACATAGCTTTAGGTCCTTTATTTGAGCTAAAATATGACAGCTTGTAAGCATTCTATTAATTCTTTTATAGTATTTCTTGTATATTTCATATCCTCCCTTGAAGGTTGTAATTTCTGGTTTTATCATAGCATTTTATATAGCTTTTATGTATATGGATTTTGCTATAATGCATTGTATTGATATTATACTATTATACTTCAAAATTCTTCCACCAACATAATCACGGTTGGTGATTCAGGATGCTGTCTAGGTCCCTGCTGAAAAGCTACTAAAACATCATATAATAGCAGTCTTTAGGCTCCCGAGTCTGTGCTTGCTCCCATATAATCAGAGTTTTGGTATCTAGTCTCCCCTGATTTGTGTGCAGTTATTTTGTCAACCTTTGATTATAACTTTACTATGCTTAGGTCAATCATTTTGGGTTCTAAATATGAAAGAGTCCATAGTCTTATAATGACTAGCTTTAGAAGCAGCATCTCATCTAAAATGAAGCCACAGGGAAATGTAATAGTACTTACAGGTGTCTTCTTCTTCCATAGAAACACTGATCACATAACAGGCGTACACAAAACCAACCAGCTGCAAAGAGGAAAAGAGTATGTACCTTAAAAGTTTATAGCTAACATCCACAAATATGAAGAATATGTGTTAGCAACTTCTATGAAATTATGATAGAAAAAAATCTCATCTTAAACAATAGCTGTAATTTAAAAGAATCTTTTCATTTCTATGTCACCTTGATAGCTTTCTCAAAATTGTGCAGGAGCACTTGGGAGGCTGATGCAGGAGGACTGTGAGTGTGAGCTGGTTTGGACTACATCGCAAGACTGTCTCATAGAACATAAACAAACACAGGAAAGAGGGAAAAGAGTTTCTAGATATTTCTGTCAGATTTTGGTATAGAATTTACCAATAAGTGTAGATTTTTCATACCATTTTTTGCTACCTATAGAACAATTTGTACTATACTTATTATTACTACAACTATTTTAATGCTTAGAAATCAGAAAAGAAATCAAAATTTGCTGTTTATAAATTAAGTAGCAATCATGTACTTAAATATTTAAAATGTTTTGAGATGTAAATTCTCTCTAGCTACTAAGTTGTTTTTTAATTATATCATAAGAAAATACAATAACTTTCTGGTGTTTAGCTATGGTAAAAAGAAATAGAAGACATCATTTATACTTTGTGTATTACTGGTTCAAAGAACAAATGCAAGCAAGGAGTACAGCTTTTATAGCTTCTTATATTATTTTCTGCTCTTATTATACTGAGAAAAAGATTTTTATTCCATGGAGTCAGAGACACTGCAATTCTTGGAGGACAAAATTGTCGATAAGTCTATTTTACTCTAAGATTACTCTAAGTTGTTTGGTAAGTATGAAAAATAGCTACTTCAGTAGCTTAAGAAGCTTCTCTTCTTGCCTTTCTTTCCACTGTTAATCTGTTTCCTCTCTGTATCTTTAGTGTAAAATAATATTTACAAAGGAAAATTTTGCATAGCCCTAGTATCAAAAGTTGAAATTTCATTGCCTTATTTTAGCTCTGTTTCCACTTTTGCTGGAGTAGGTTTATTTGACAACCTAGCTTGGTCTCCTTTCCCTCTCCCTTCCTTCCCCTGAGCTTTCTGGGCATCTTGGCAGCATGGAGAACACGTGGAGGCCGCAGAACCTTCTATAACCTTCCTGAAGCTGCACTGCTCCACCCTTCTGAGAACCAGAGCATGAGGCCACTAATAACTTTCTAACATATTTCCTATCTTCTTTCATGTAGTTGCTACATATCACAATGACACTCATAACACACATTAATACTCTCCATAAGATTAAATTTTAATGAGTACATTTGCTTCATTTGAACATGTGTAATATATTTAAGCAATATTCTATTATTGACAGTCACTTTAAATTATAGATACTGTGAGTGTGGTTTTTTGAGACAGAGTCTCACCATGTAGTTCATGATGGCCTTAAACTCACTATGTAGCTTAGGCTGGCATTGAATTAGTGATGATCCTTCTGCCTCACCTTCTCAAGTACTGTGATTACAGGTGCATGCCACCATGCCTGGCCTTAAAATACTTCTGTGACTTATTTTTATATACCACTGAATTGATTTCAAAAAGTTTGTGTGATTTCTCTGTGGTAAGAACATTCAAAATTCTTTCTTCTAGCTATTTTAAAATATTTAATGTAATAAATATGTACAACTATCTGTCAGTTAAAGCAACACAAAAACAAAAGTTTGTAGCATCTCCTCTTGCTAGAGCAGTAACTAACAATGTTTGTTTTGCCATACCCTTAGGAGCACATAAGAACTATGTCCATAACAAGAACAAATTGGCACTTCTAAATGTATTTGTTTTGCAGTAGTTTTACTACTTCTGAAACATTTTCATGTTTTATTAACCCTTTACATCTTATGAATTATTTGAGACATTCTTTGGCTGTTTATTAATTTTATATATTTTTTATTTGTATGAGGTCTTATATAGTAAAGTTGTTAATGTACTTACTGCAATATCTATATGTCAGTAAATATTAGTGGTACCTTCACAACACTGGGATATTTTCTTACTAAATCATGTGTCAGAAAATATCTGCCAATCATTTTCTGGTTTCTGGGTGGACTGTCTCTCAGGTGTGTGTGTGTGCATGTGCATTTGTGTATGTGTACCTACCCATGTATGTGTAGACCAAGAATTCTTTTGTATCTGTGTTACTACTGCAATAGATTTGCGCAAACTCAGTGGTTTAAATCAACCCAATTTATTAGTACAAAGTTCTGATATCAGAAATCTGAAATCTTGTCAATATTAATCTGTAAGTCAGATATTGTGTCTACCTCTTTCAATATATATAACCTATTTTAGAGAATTGACTTTGAAGATGATCCTTTTGGTTAAAAATTAGTTTAAGGAATTTGGGCAACTTGAACACTAGTGACATAAACCCTGATAAAGCACGTTTCTTTTGAACTCAAAAGCACAGCCAAACGATCAAGGGTCTCTTTTTACCCACTAGGACTAAGATGACAGATACTCTGAGTCTCCTTCAGTTCCACTGCAAAGAAAGGAGTGGGTAGGGATGGAATGGATGAATCGTGATACAAACAAACATTTCTGAACTAGTTCTGTTTTGCACATGGATAGAAATTTAGAAGCTGCTTTGCTTATTTTATCTTGGACAGAGCTTATTGAGTAAAACACTCATAGTTATGTGATAGCCCTTACATTCCAATATTTTTTCCACATCAAACTCTGGCAAATGAAATAACATAAATCATTATTTTTTTCATCTTTATAGTTGAAAGGTAAGTAGAGACACATATAAACGTTTTGATTCAGTGATACAGGTTTTTCTAGTATAAAGCCAACACTTTTATGATAGCTCCGTACTACAAAGAATATTATTTTTCTGCTGTTATAGTATACATTTTTAGATTAAATATAACACTTTTATCTATACCTTTATGTTAATTTAAAGATGAATTATCACCCTTTTGTTATTGGTGCCTTTTGAGATGAGAATGACATCTAAAGTACGTATTAATAGGTCGTTAATCTTTCTGACAGACTATATACGTTGGTATTTACCAATACTGGTTCATTCAATTCAGAATACCTGGGTCCACCAGCGTTTATTGGTAGGTCCATCAGCATTTACCCGCTGGTCTATTGGCATTTACTGGAAGAAATGCTAGAGGGTTGGTGAGAAAGCCCCTGGAGACAAAACTCAGTCTTGCTGACTGAGTTCACATGTGTCAATATGGAGAGCTAATTTGATGAAGTTGAGCTTAAAACCCTAACAGGAGAGCACTTTCCTTTGGGAGAAAAAGTTCCTTCTGCCATGGTAGAGAAATACTGACCTGAACTAAGCCTGTACCGCTTACTTCTAAGCTTGCCTTCCACCTGTTGTAACAGGCCTAGAAAATGCAACAGCTGATCGTGTATGCATAAATTGTTTTGTTACACATTTATACACATAAACATAAAAATCTAAGTATCCTCAGAAGAATCTATAAGATGTTTTTGCAAGAAACTTTATACGATTCTTTTTTATTTTAAAGAGAAAAAATTAGAGGCTGGGGATTTAGCTCAGCGGTACAGTGCCTGCTTGGCAAGCGCGAGGTCTTGAGTTCGATTTCCGGTATGAGAAAAAAAAAAAAAGAGAAAAAATTAAAACAACAATAAAACAGGGGCTGGGGATTTAGCTCAGCGGCAAAGCGCCTGCCTGGCAAGCGCAAGGTCGTGAGTTCGGTTCCTGGTACCGGAGAAAAACCAAAAAAAAAAAAAACAAAAAACAATAAAACAGAGTTTCAAAATAGGCTACTAAGAGACTAACAATACTTAATGCATTGCGTATTATTATCTTCGCAGTAGTTATTCAGAGTACAAGATATCAGCATGAAACTTTGTCCAAATAATATTAGCACAAATCTTTCTTTTCAATGAACTAAGAGAAACTAGCTGTATAAATATCTCACCTATCTTGTCTATAAATATACTTTTTCTTTTGCCTTTCCTTTCTTTTCCCATTTCCCATTTCCCCATCAGTTTATCTTTTCTTTTGAACAGTTTCTCCCCAGTTTACAATAATACCTTTATATGATTCTACTGCAAACTTTCTTCTAGGCTAAGTAGAAAAAGTTGACCGGAAGGCTAACCTTATGTAATTGGATGTAAGTTTTTAGTTCTGACTCCACCACTCAACTAAGTTCTGCCAAAATTCAAGGAAAGATTTGGGGATAGGATGAGACATTGATTAAGTCAGAACAAATGCTTAAGCAGATAATCCTAGATGAACTTTTATGAAGGCCAAAGAAGTCAAGCTTTTTGGATTTTTCCAGAAGTATATATTTAATATAACCTGTATTCTTTATAATGTAAGTATAGTATAGGGATTATGCTAAAATACTGGGTTAATTGTGTGTCCTGAACATGTCCATTGTCTATGTAGATGCTGAAGAAAACTGGTCAATGTATTTGATTCTTTTCCATAAAACAAGTCTTTTGAGTGACAGAAAGTATGGTCAGGTATTTAATCATAATGACAGCACACTGTCTCTCCATATTCAGTGAAAATTATTTCTTACTAATGAAATGAGGGAACACACAGTTTTAAAAGAATAGAAAATACATAGTAACAGAAAATTTGGCAGATGTACTTGCCCACTAATGGACCTAAATATTGTCTTGATACATGACATAAGAAGAATTTTGGCTGGATAATTGAAATATACAATGCCATTAGCTGGAAACAACTAGATGAAAACATGCCAGAAATATTAGATCACTTTCTAGGCCCTCAAACAGAATTCGCCTGTTGTAATATTCATATTACTACAAATGAATTAATTAAAATATTTCCTTTTCCTTTTACTTTATTGATAGGCACAATCATAAAATATTTATTCCAAAAATTACTTTTGCTATTGTGATTAACCAAACTGCTGTTTAATTAATAATGTTATTCTCATGAGAGCTTGTCTAGACATCCTGTTAATCACCAAATTGTAGATGGCTGACTTGTGTAGTTCTTGGTTTCCCAGAATATGAATTGAAATAGTCCCTGTGG